TGGTGCCGCGTGCATTTTTGGATTTTACGGTGACGAACGATGGGATGGCTTGTGCTATACTTCATTTACTTTTTCTAGCGATGTACCCCTTCCAATGTCTTGGATGTGCGCTGGCAAAATCGTAGGTAGGGAGAAAAAATGCTCATTATACTCTCGACTCTTGTTCAATCATGAATAGTAGTGCGTGTCGAAAACAAGCTTTTAAGCCCTTTATATGTCTTCAAATATAAATAAACATCTCGTTGATATTTTTAGTAGTAAATGGTACCAATAACAGCACATTTGAGCAATGCAGTAGTAGTGGATAAAATGGTCAATTTTTCCGTACAATACTGTACGGATTATACGCTCCTCACCGGTTAAGAGTTTGACCGAGAGTTGTCTCCTTCCTTTTCTGGCCTAGTACCTACTGTTCTTTTCTACTTTGTGCCTGTCAAACTGAAGGTCACATTGCTACAGAAAGTAAACGAAGTATAGTATTTAGTAATATACGAAGAGAATGTGGATGATATTGTACAATGCTAAAACAAAAAGTATTTTTATGTGGGGCGGAGAGATGGAAACGGAAAATCGAATAAAAAAATACCTGAATATAAGATTTAATAATTACATATTTAAGTAACCTTGTCGAATGGGGAACGAATGTTGCGGAATGAAGTATAGAAAATAGTTATATTATTAAAAAATTATTTGTCACATTGTCAACTTTAGTATTTTGAAGAAATTATTGCAGATTAATTGTAGGCAAGCTGTTCACATTAATTCTAGCTTCATTAGCCAATCTATAATTTTGAAAGTATAATCAGACTCTTTGATGTTCTGTCAATGGAGATGCCGAAGTAAGGTACTAAGATATTTAATTAAACAAAAACTAAAATGAAGACTGAAAGTTGAATGGAATGTAGAATGAAAAGTTGAACGTAGTTACACAGTTAAAGATTAGCTAAGAGCATGTGAATTAATGTAGGTACTCAAAGAAAAAAGTAATTTAAGCAATGTGGAATATGATCAGTCTTTAAATGCCTAAGATATTGAAAACTACAGTTTAAATCCAATACAGTGATAAATCCCATTGTAAAATTGCAAATAAGAAGAAGTAAGAATTATATACATCATGCAGTTAGTACACAAACTTGCAAATGTTAAAAGGGACTGCAAGAATGTTGGTACGAATAAAAAATTATAACAATACAAAATAATACATGCAATGCAAAATATCAATATAATAGAATAACACAAATACAATTAAAAGATTAAATTGCCACATATCTATCTAATTAGTGTATTAACTGTACACACGACACACTACATTGTACGAAAATTAATGATATTTTAACTAAAACATGAAAATGAATAGAGGGTCACATTCGATACAAACGACGTTCGGGATTGTCGGCTTTGACGATAAAAGAGTAGAATCTACTTTCTGGAATGGATTCTTTCTACAATAGACCAGCCTTTATAAATAGTTGTCACGGGATAGGATGGACAATTCCAGATAACAGGTAATATAAGGCGAAACAAGAAGGGCGAAGAAGCGATTCAGTGGGCGATTAGTAGCGATCGAGTCATTAATTATTTATAAAGGTTTGAAGATTAATTAGAAAAATAAATTAGTTATATGTGCGAAACTTGTCTTATCATGCCGCTATATACATGATCTGCTTAAATTACGTTAGGCAGGTAGGTAATTATCTAGTTGCTGTAGCTTTGGGCTTTTGTTTTCTGAGTACAAAAAGTTAGACAGAAAATTTTCACTGAAGTTAGGATAATTGTGTAAATAGAAGCGAAGTTACGGCCGTGGTTTTTGTTAAAGAACTCTCCTCGGTGCAAACAACGTTGAACTTTAGCTTCCTTTAGAGATTTCGAATCGACGCGACAGAGGGCAAGTTTTTCACTGTTTATTTTTGACATCATAGCATAGCGTAATGATATTACATTAGTAAGGCGCGCATTTTCAATATAAATAAAACATTGCAACACTACTCTGAAATACTTAACCTAATTGAACATAAATACAGGGTGCAACAGAAATACGTAGAGAGCTAGTAGGAGGTGATTGGGTTCTACAAAACAAGAAAATTAAGTAAATTTTTGTATGTCCGAAATTTCATCGTTTTTGAGAACAACGCAGTTGAAAGTACCAAGTAAATTCACCGTATTCAATCAGCTGGTAGTTAGCAGCATCAGTGTTGTATTTTGTTGTTCATCTGTTGTATTAACCTTGTATTTAGTCAACATATATGCAGTTCAAAAAAGTAATTCAGCAATACATCGGTCATTGGAGTAGATCAGTACGTCACTGTAGAACAGCTGTTGTAATAGTGACGGGACATAATACTTATTTACGAGTTTACCTTATTGCCGCTGTGTTGGATGAAATACTCGATTTCGTAGATGACAACCCCCAAAATGATAATGCGAAATAGCAGGGAGCGTTTCCCACACTCATGTGACAGTGTGGCAAATCATAAAGAAACAGTTGTTGCATCTTTATCATGTCCAATGAGTGCAAGCCTTACTTGAAGTTGATTTGTAGCTACGACTGTGATTTCAAAAGAAAAGTGCTGCAGAGCCTAATTTTTCTCTATAAAAATGAATCCAAAAGGTGAACTAAATCTCTAGAATGGCTCTTATGCCTATAAGTCATTTGGATTATGTTAAACATTTGAAATACAACAGTTAGGAATATTTCAGTAGATGATGATGTATTGCCCATATCTTGATATATCAACTTGATTTTATGGAAAAACTAATAAGTTGGAAATCGTGATCAGTGAGTGGTTGCTTGGGATAAAATGTAGGCAACCTAACATACTGTGTCATGTGTAGGCAACCAAGCATACATAGTGAGAAAGAAGATTAGATTTTCTAGATGTCACATTCCGGATCCTTCTAAAAGAAATAAATTTCTGTAGATGACGATATATTTCCCACATCATAATATTGCATCAACTTGATTTTATGGAGAAATTAATGAGTTGGAAATTGTGATCGGTGAATGGTAGTTTGGGATAAATTGCTAACCAAATTATCAGTTTCATCTGAACGTCACATGTAGACAACCTAACAGTGTCACGTGTAGACAACCTAGCATACATGACAAAGGAGGTTAGATTTTCTAGATGTCACATTCTGGAACAAGACCAGCCCCTGTTAATAGTAGGTCGGAACAATTAGAACGAGTTCGAGTTACGAGGCGATACCTAAACTGAAGAACCCACATTCTGGCGAAACAACTGTTGTGGAGATAATATTGTATCTATGTAATTATTGAATTTGTAGATTCGGCAAAGGTTAGTGAAAGCTTCCAGAAATTCCCTTAAGATTAAATTCAATACTGAAAAGCTCTATTTTTCTCAAGTCAATTTAAGTTTATACGCAGTATAATACGAACTCTAATTATTCATAAGTAAATCGCTTTCTGTGTGTCAAGTCGGAATTTCTTTAACGTTCTTCGTNTGATCTCACAATTTCTGCAGATAACGTCCACTACACTGTCTGTAAATATTCGTTGAAGGCTGTTTAATGGCAGCAGATAAATAAGTGGGTGTTCCATCGAAAAATAGAAAACGAGATCCAACAACTTTTGTACTGTTATTTGTACGTGCCCATCACGTAGACTCCTATGCCGTGGGTTTAGTTTGATAGGTCGATATTCTTAATCGAAAGGGTTTTTTAGTTATTTATGAACCCAGAGCAAATTTCTACAGATGGCATTTACTACGTCGTCTATAGTTATACGATGATCATGTTCACACTTTAGGCTTTAAGAATAGCCCTATTTGTTTGCCTCCTTTGCTATGATGTGATTAATTTGTGCATGCGCGTTTCCCGAAAAATTTCTTAATGCGGTTCTTTGGGTTCAATTTCAAATTTCTGCAGTAATAATTCATACACATATTCCTGTATATTCGCAAATTTTGAAATCATTTCCACCATTTTTTATGCAAGTGATAACGACGATCAATGGATATGGCACAACATAGCCTTTGGAATTGCAGGCCATTACCGTCAAACTTCATATTTTATTACAACGTGGAAATCAAAGTCTGCGTATCCAAACATGTTTTTAATTTTAAGACGACCAAACTCTGCAGTTCGAGGTGGCCCTTATTGTTGACAATTCCACTAGAAGAAAATGGTTCAAAAGCAGCATTCACAGTAATTCTCTGTTAATTCAAATTATGGTGCAATGTAATACGAGGACATTTATCAGTCAAGTAAGTACAGCTGTGTCAGTTATTTAATCCATTTAACGATACTGCGTAAATTTTAACTGCTCCTTTTTGGATTTAGCTGCAGTTCCGGTTTAATTTTTCCAAATGTTTCGTCGGCTGTTACTATTGACATTTCTAGTTCGTTCCTGCGAACTGAGTTGGGAGCAGAAATTAGAAACTAAGATGAACAAGTTGGTTTGTTAAACATAACGGTCATCAGTGTTCCAAACAGTTTTATTCGGAAATTTCCGTACATTCGATTAGGTACCTTTTGCAAAACGGGTAAAAGTCTGACTTAACGGCCAGGCTCTGTTTAAAAAAATGCATATTCCTATTTCGATTTGGATGACAAGTTAGCAAATATACTGAAACACCATCATCAATTTATTATAAATATATATTTTATTAGATGAAATGCATCGGAATTATTCAATCATCGAATATTCATTCTTATGTGTTTATTTATCGTACATTTAGTTGTGACCTAGTAAGAGGTCCAGCAATCTACAACTGCCGACGCCGATCGACTGTCAGATCTGTCGCTCAATAATTTTATTTTTCATGAGATAGATTCCATATAAACGACTCAAGTACTTTTTTTAATGCTAAAACTGTTATTCCGTTCAGATTTATCTGAAGTAACAATGTGTGAAAAGGGTAATAGCGGACAGATTTTATTATTTTGGAAGTTGTAGGCACAACAACAAAATCCTACTTTAAAGGCCATGAATACGGTAATGTTGGGTAAAATACGAGAAAAAGGGAGTATTATATGCTTACCTGGTGTAACGTCCACATTCTTCGACTATCTCGACAGTCCCTCGGGAGTTGACGGAGGGATAGTTGCACCGTCTGAAAGAGCTGAAGTATGCATCCACTTTCCCTAACAAGCGCCCCTGCCAAAAGAAATTGATGCATTAATATTTTAACGGGCACACAGCACTTTGCCGAAGGGAAAAGGACGGCGAAAGGCATGACAAGGGGAGAAAAGGTATACGAAGAAAACATAGAAAGAGAGAGAGCGAGAGAACGAGGGAGAGGGTGGAACAGAAGCGATCGTGGACGTGAAATAGTACCGGGAACGACGATATTTTTCAATAAACATCATCGCAGATGGGAGAGAAAGTTTTAACGTAATTCTATTTACGAGTTTGTTGCGTGTTTAAAATTGTCGATGGTACACGCTTCTTTTTTCTTTTTACGTTTTCATTCTTATGGGGAGGCATTTGGGTCAAGTAGCTATACGCACTTTTATAGGCAAGTAACAATACATAAAAATGTATGACGTAATATGAAACTGAAACAATACGTAATTTACTTGAATTTACCAGTTGTGTTAGGTGCATAAAATCATAGAACCACACCTACATTTTAATTTCTTCAGGAATGCGAAAGATGTATTCCCTTTAATCTTTTTATAAATGGTTTAAAAAAACAGATGGTCATTCAAAAACAACCAGGGGCGGATCTCTTAATTTGAGACGACAGGTGAACTAAATCTTTAGAAGGGCGCTTATACCTATAAATCATTTGGATTACGTTAAACATTGGAAATACAACAACCAGGAATCTTTCAGTAGATGATGATGTATTGCCCATATCTTGATATTAGATCAACTTGATTTTATGGAAAAACTAATAAGTTGGAAATTGTGATCAGTGAGTGGTAGTTTGGGATAAATCGCTAATGAAATTATCAGTTTTTTTTGAGTAACACATGTAGGCAACCTAACATACAGTGGTGTCATGTGTAGGCAACCAAACATACATAGTGAGAAAGAAGATTAGATTTTCTAGAGATAAAGTTTTAACGTAATTCTATTTACGAGCTTGTTGCGTGTTTAAAATTGTCAATGGTAAGTACACGCTTCTTTTTTCATTTTTATGTTTTCACTCTTATGGGGAGGCATTTGGGTCAAGTAGCTATACGCACTTTTATAGGCAAGTAATAATACATAAAAATGTATGACCCAATATGAAACTAAAACAATACGTATTTTACTTGAATTTACCAGTTGTGTTAGGTACATAAAATCATAGAAGCACACTTATATTTTAATTTCTTCAGGAATGCGAAAGATGTACAGTCTATTTCAATTTCTTAGAATTGTAACCTTGAAGAAATCTGCGCGAAGATAGAAAGAATACACACTAGGCGTGAGCAAGACAGAAATAGTTGGAACAAGCTTGAACGAGCAGAGCTCTCGATGGGCGGTCTCAAAAGATCGGCTAGAACTGCACAGTATTAGACGAAAATGTTTAGCAATTTTTTAAAACAAAAATGTATATAAATTAACAATAGAAAACAAAGCAAAAGTTTTATAGGTGTGTAGAA